TTATGTGAGATGTGTGTTTGTTAGCAACTGAAACTGTGACGTGCTACCTTTACTAGTAGTTCGGAGCTGTCTGCTACAAAAGTCTGAGGCGACAGGAGATATTTTTCAGCTGAAGAATGTTTTCAAATGAAGAGCAGGTTGTAAGCGAGGCTCCGTTTGTGAATGAGGAAACAGTTCAGAGTGTCTGCTCCTCCTCCTGGAATGAGTCAGAGATTGATGAGCCCTCCCTCTTCTTCCTGCTCTCAGACACGGCCAGCTCCACTCTGTATGTCCTGGTTCCTCCCCTTTAGATCCACACAGAGGAGGATGGGTGTAACCAAAACGTAAAGTACAAGAGCTGATAGGCCAAATTCACCGCCCACACATGTTGTTCAGATCACTGCTCATAGTTTCAGTTCTCAGGAAGTGAAACTCATACGCTCGCTCTACTGAGAGGTGAAATGGCGCAGAAAGGAGTTCAGCTGGAGCGGGAAATCTTATCTTGTCCGATCTGTCTGGATCTACTGAAGGATCCGGTGAGCACTTCCTGTGGACACAGCTACTGCATGAAGTGTATTGAAAGCTTCTGGGACGGAGAGGACGAGAAGAAGATCCACAGCTGCCCTCAGTGCAGGCAGAGCTTCACACCGAGGCCTGTCCTGCTGAAGAACACCATGTTAGCAGCTTTAGTGGAGGAGCTGAAGAAGACTGGACCCCCACCTGCTCCTGCTGATCTCTGCTATGCTGGAGCTGGAGATGTGGCCTGTGATGTCTGCACTGGGAGGAAGCTGAGAGCCTGTAAGTCCTGTCTGCAGTGTGTGGCCTCTTACTGTGACAAACACCTCCAGCCTCATTATGACGTAGCTCCATTAAAGAAACACAAGCTGGTGGAGCCCTCCAAGAAGCTCCAGGAGAACATCTGCTCTCGTCACGACGAGGTGATGAAGATGTTCTGCCGCACTGATCAGCAGAGTATCTGTTCTCTCTGCTCTGTGGACGAACACAAAGGCCACGACACGGTGTCAGCTGCAGCAGAGAGGACTGAGAGGCAGAGAGAGCTGGAGGGGAGTCGACTAAACATCCAGCAGAGAATCCAGGACGGAGAGAAGGAGGTGAAGCTGCTTCAGCAGGAGGTGGAGGCCCTCAATGGCTCTGCTGAGAAAGCAGTGGAGGACAGTGAGAAGATGTTCACTGAGCTGATCCGTCTCATGGAGAAAAGAAGCTCTGATGTGAAGCAGCAGCTCAGATCCCAGCAGGAGAGAGAAGTGAGTGGAGTCAGAGAGCTCCAGGAGAAGCTGGAGCAGGAGATCTCTGAGCTGAAGAGGAGAGACGCTGAGCTGAAGCTGCTGTCTCACACAGAGGATCACAACCAGTTTCTGCTCAGCTACCCCTCCTCACTGCCAGCCCTCAGTGAAGCTACACACTCCTCCAGCATCAACATCCGTCCTCTGAGATACTTTGAGGACGTGACGGCGGCCCTGTCAGCAGTCAGAGACAAACTACAGGACGTCCTGAGAGAGGAATGGACAAACGTCTCACCGACTGAAGTGGAGGTTTTACCGTCAGCAGCAGAGCCCACCACCAGAGCTGGGTTCTTAACATATTCACAGGAGATCACTCTGGATCCAAACACAGCACACACACTGCTGGTATTATCTGAGGGGGGCAGAAAAGCAACACACATGGAACAACATCAGTCTTATTCTCGTCACCCAGACAGATTCACTGCATGGCCTCAGGTCCTGAGTAGAGAGAGTCTGACTGGACGTTGTTACTGGGAGGTGGAGCGGAGAGGAAGAGTGTTTGTAGCAGTCGCATACAAGAATATCAGCAGAGCAGGGGGGGAAAGTGAATTTGGAAACAATGACAAATCTTGGGCGTTATATTGTACCAAAACAGTTTTACATTTTATTACAACAGTATCCTCACTCCCGTCTCAGGTCCTCTGTCCTCCAGAGTAGGAGTGTACCTGGATCACAGAGCAGGCGTTCTGTCCTTCTACAGCGTCTCTGAAACCATGACTCTCCTCCACAGAGTGCAGACCACATTCACTCAGCCGCTACATGCTGGACTTTATCTTAATGGTTGTTATGGAGACACAGCTGAGTTTAGTAAACTCAAATAGCCTGAAGTCCTTGGAGGAACTCTTCTACTTCTTAAACTCACCGTGTGTCCATCAGAGCTGATTGTTCATGTCTTCACTGTGCAGAGATCAGCTGTCAATCAAACATGATGGGCGGGGCTTGAACATCTTCTCATGAGTTGTTCTGTAGATGTTGGACTTTCTTCCGGCTCCTTCCTGTGTCTGTGTAGCCATGGAGGCTGTCACTGCTCAGGAGGATCCTTGCTCACCTGTAAACTTTGCTCTAAAGATTTGCTGGATGTTTCTTTTGATTCATGTTGTTGTTTCTCTTGTAATGCACGAGTCTCCAGAGACATTTAGAATCACATGTCTTACTTTGACAGATTAAACCCAGATGGTTATAACAATTATTTCATCACAACATGTTGATTTAAAATTATATTACTTCCTGTCATGATCATAATCAATAAGTACATCATGTATTAGTCTCCTGTACATAGCTTAGAGTCTTTGCTTGGGAAATCAATGGTATAATATTAGTTATTTGTTGTTGTTGTTTGTTGTTGTTATCCAAATAGAAATTGAGTACTCTGATGTTTTACAGAACATACATTATCATGATCATAATCAATAAGTACATCATGTGTCATTCTGTTTGAAACAGCTGAGATGAAACACATGGTGTGGATGAAGGGAAAGTGATCAATAGTCATTGAACAGACTTTACTGATGGGATGTGTGATCAAAGGAAATGTTTGGATAATGAATAAAGTACAAACTAAAACAGGATTGTTGTTCTTGTGTGATGTCCAAGGTGCCGTACGAAGCTGATGGAGAACATGTGGAAGTGATCTGAGACTAGAGCTCAGTGTTCATCCTCACTCAGTCTGACCCCTCCCTCACTCAAACGTCTCTGTGAGCATATATATCACAGGAGGGTTGCTTTAAAACACATTCACTGGAGTTGTTTATACCTTTTTTAAACCTTTTCTTTTAGATATTAAGCTTCTTCACTATTTGTCCTACTCTTCCAGTTTCACCAAAGTCACTGCATTTGAGCTGTAACTCGTTTCACTCTTAAGAATATGTTCTGTACTCGTTTCACCACAAAGTGTTCAGACAGTGCATTCTGGGGCTTTTTATCTTCTAATAAGTGTCAAGGGAATGTATTTTTAGTGCACGCATGTTTCTTATTTGGCCATGAAACATTAACTTTGATGGCCAAATAGATCACTTATGAAAATATATAAAAGTGGAAACACATTGTTGGCTCCATGCAGCTTCGCTTTGGGTTCAGGCCTCATTTAAAGCGTGGCGCCTGGGCCGTGTTGCAGGAAACGTGGCGCTCTAACCCCGGAGGTCTCTTTTGGAGCGAGGCCTCTGCTAATGAGCCGTCAGGACGAAAGGTGGTTGGTTTTCAGCCTCTGAAAGCAGGCAGGTGCTCCTTTCAAAGGCAGCAGGACGTAAGTAATAAGTAAGTATGAGTAATTCTAACTGATTACACTCCTGTGTTTACTTCTGGAAGACGCCGACACCTTCTCCGCCGAGTTTCCTGCCAGCACCGTGTCCTGTCCTGTTTCGGGTCCCATCGACACCAGCCCTTGCTCCGTCCAGGGTCTCGTCTACGCCTGACCCGCCAGGGGTTCCACCAGCTCCTGCCCGTCCTTGTGCCCGGCCTCCTGAGTTCCCCAGCCGAGGACTCCACCATGCACTCTGCCTTGCCCCCGGGCCGTCCGCCCGAGACACCCATCATGGACTGTGCTTTGCCTCTGGGTTGTCGTCCCGGACCCGTCCTCCGGACCCCCTCCATCCACCCTTTTGGATATTTAATTTGTAATCGTTTGACCTCCCTAATATATATATATATATATAGCACCAAATTGCAACTAATCTATATCTACTGTCACTTTTCACATTGAACATGTGCTCTTTTATTAAATTAACTAAACGCTTTCATTTTAAGTTGTGAGTGTTTTTGACCCTAAGAAACAGATGCATTGATCAATAACAATAATCCACAGCTGCTCTCTCCGTCCCAATATGTAGTGTCAATTTTACTAACCACTATCTTTTCCAAACACAGAAACATGTATTATTGACTAACCCACAGTTGTAATAATATTAGTTGAAGAATCTCATTTAAAAGGTTTCACCAATTGATATTCTTCCTGGTATGTTAAGTTAAACTAATACTGCGAGTGAATTAAGCATACCCCTGCTTATCATGTACAACTCTCCAATTACAACATGTAAACTTATTTTTTCAGGATAGTAGGGAGTTATTTTGTGAACTGAATCATTCCAGTCTGTATTAAGATGAGGGTGAACATCTTCAGCATGTTAGCCTTATGCTAAGCTGTCATGCCTTCTCAGGTAAGAACTTGAAATAACTCATGGATTTGTGTTTGCGGAAAGCACATTACTTCAGGAAGTGAGTACAGTTATTCAATACACTTAATATCTTACCATTTCTGATTAGAGAATACATAAACAAATGTTTTCTAAGCTTATATTCTCTTTCTTGTGGACTTTTGGTTGTTGCTTTGTTAGTGTTGTAGTGTCAAGATGTAGCTATATTGTTTTTCTTTATTTGAACGAAATGCATGTGGAACAGGAAGAGGTGTACAGGGTTTTATCAAATTGCTATTTTCACATGTAGTCATTCAAATGAATTTTCACTTCCTGTCCTTCAAAATGCCATTAAAAGCATGTAGATTGCACCATATTTAGATTTCAAAGTTCAACTTAAACTTTAGGTTTTAAACTTTGAATCAAGTCATGGAAATGTTGAGAAGAATCTGGCTCCAATCTCCATTGAAAAGGACAGAGGGAAGTTCAAATCACTGACAATGGGATTCTGATTGATATTAAACCCGTTTCATTCTCTTTGCAATATAAGAGATGTTGCCGTTCTGAAAACTGAGGCTATTGTAAATGTTACGTCCCCACTAAGGTCTAGGGGACCTGGAGACAATATCATACAACCAATAAAAATGAGGGAGTCAGTGTAACAGTTGACAAAAGGTTTATTTTGTGTAAACCCAGAATCGAACAGACATATACTTGAAACACTCGGTTGGTGAGGAGGAGGAGGAGGAGTCAAAGGATTGTGCCAAAAAAAAGAAACAAGCATAACAAAACCAGGCCTATCTCTACATCTATCCTTTGAAACCAAAACTCAAACAAAAAAACCCTCACTAACTAAACTACAAAGAATTTGACAAAACAATATACAGGGGTGGCAACAATCCGCTAACCTAGTGTGTCTGAACATTAGTTAGCTACGTGGTGAGAAATGTACAGGGTACCCCAGACTTACCTAACTCCTCCACCTCTCAACACACACACTTTCAAAAAGGTTAGACAATACAAAGATAATGAGTTGCTAAACACTGCAGGCTCCTTCATCAGCAACAGGCCCAGAGTGAGAGATAGAGAAGACTTCCTGGGTGCCTCCTTTATGGTCGGCCCTGGCGGCTGATAGGCCAGCTGAGGGTGAGAGGATCCAATCAGCCATCAGATTCAGGTGCACAGGCAGATTCCGATCAGCTGCTGATTAGCTGTGCAGAAGACAGGGAGAAGAGAGAAACACAGAAGGGAAAGAAAACTGAGGTTACCTACTGTAACCCCAGCTTCTATGAGTAAATGGCGCAGCCCTCTAAGGCTATCGCTATTGGGTAATCCCCCTGCGCCCCCGCGCAGCACTGAAACACTTGTAGTCCACGCCCACCCGCAAGGTGGGCCCCACCCTCGGGCCTCCTC